GATTTTCGCTTTACAATTAGCATTTGTGATGAATTACTGTGTTATTGAAAAGCGATTAGAATCAGTGAATAACAACTCAATTTGTGATCATCCGTCGCTTTCCAATTTGTTCCCTATCTTCTTGTTCAATCCATTAGCACTGCTAAGTTGTCTCTAAATCTTATTCGTTCGATTAGGTTTCAATCTAATAAAACTATACAACAAAATTCATTTTTTTGTCTTTGTGCCTCGTATTGAATTATTTAGGTGTGAAATTGTTTTTTTCAATGAGAACGCTTTAAGCAATATGAATGAAATTATTATATGTTTAGTGCAGTGTACTTTAGATGCATCATATATTTTTCAATATTCTATCGTTTCTCTTTGTTGTTGCTGGTAATTTTGAATTCATTGCATTATTATTCATAGTTTTTGCTATTGTTATTCTTGCTGCTTATATGATTGAGTTGGAAACGAGGGGATGAGAGTTTTGGGCTGAAGAGGATGATTGCAAAGCGGAGGTGGGGGGGGGGGGCGATTTCAGACGGGAAAGACCGCCATCCAGGGCAATCTCGTGCATTTGGCGGGGCACGAGTGGTTATAAAGTTTTTGGAAGCAGGATCGCTTAGAAGTTCAAACACATCGATCTGTAATCTTCAAATATAGACTAATTTTGATAAGGATTTATTGAGTGCGAACCGAATAGAACACAATAGGAATCAATCTTATTTCTATAATTTATTTCACATCGGTGGTTCTTAACGTTTTTTGGCCAGTCACCCATTTACACTAACAGTTCATCTAAATCACTTCAACGTTTAGTGATTTGCAAATAGTCGCTTTGGAAACGATGGGAGAAACGAAAAACTCACGGATGATTGTATCGTGTGTTTAACCCTGAATACACAAGAGAGATCAACCACACCTCCCTTATTGTAGTCAAAAGTATCTTGTGTCACAAAGCAATAGGGAAAATGAATGTAGGAAAGTAGAAGGCAGTAGGGAAGCTAGTGGCAGTGAGGTGAAATGCGGTAATGGGCGATGGAAAGGAGTCGGAACAGACGTGTGGTCTGTGATCTTTTAGGAAATGGCAGTTTCGTTGCCATACTCGCAGAATAATAATATATTGCTATCAACGAATAAGTACATCGCAGAAACAAACCGAAGATACGCAGTAAGTAGTGACGAGAAACAACTGTCGGGGACTGTTGCTTTGGGAAACGGAGAGGAAAGAAGTGTTGCGAGATGCATAATTGATATGGTCAGTGATGGTGCTGAAGGAGATCATTTGGAAACTAAAGAGTGAGATTTTTTGGAAAAGACGTCAGATGATAATAGCTATGGATGTGAATCAGCGAAGATACTAATAATTGCGATAACTTTTCATTCATGAAGTCTTCTTAACGTAACCGTAAATCTTTTGTTCTACAAGGCATATGCATTATAAATGTACTCTAAGGCAGAATTTTTTTAAAAATTTTCACTTCGATTAATGGAATGTAGAGGGAATGACAACTTAAGTGTCACAACCGCTTTGGAAAAAAAGAACACGAAGTTGCAACCTCGCATAGTATTATAGTTCGACTATTCGTTAGTCCACATAATCCTATTGGTCTTCACGCAGCAACATCAAGATAATGTCGAACACGTTTTAACTGCCCAAAAAGAGACTCACAATTTTGCTCCACGTCGAGTAAAAATTGTTCATAATCAACGTTTTGAGTCCTTAATTTTCATTCCGTACTTCAGAACCTGCTGTGATATTTCATCTAGTTAGTTAATACATTACTATTAGATCATTAATGCTGTCCCTCTGAGGAAGCATTCGAACATGCCACCTTTTCCTCGTCAAATTCGATGTGTCTTTTAGCAGCCCTCTGCTAATGAAATCATCGTTCCCCTAAGGGAGATTTCAAAGAGAAGTTGTTTTTTTTTNTTTTTTTTTGCGGAGAGAGATCGCCTCAACGAGGATCCATATTTATTACGCGTCTTTCGCCCCGTTTTCCAACCCTGTTATGCATTATTTTTTAACTAACAGACGATATAATAATGTAACAGTTATAATTTGGTATCGCATGAATAATTTCAAATAGCATCTCTTGACTCGTCAGTATTTCTGGCTGTTTGTATGAGTCTAATTTGACGCTTGTTGCGTTTCATAGAATCAGACAGTCATTGTATTTTAATTTTATAAATGAGGCTTTCTTCATTCATTCAACTATATTTTAGTACTAAAGTACAAAGTGAGTGTAATGGTCACACGTTCCATACATTTTGGTGCGTTAGTCAAAGTTCCAATTGCGACTGAGTGTGGTGAAATGAATGCGAAGATGGCTTATATAACTTCATTTCAACAACTCGTGCAATCACATTAGAGATATGCATATATACTGGGTGAATTGAAAAGAGCACGGCAGAGGTTTGAAGTTGTCATCAAACGGCAATGAAACGTATAATCAGCGAAACTTTTTTCCTTTGCAAATATTCACGTTATGAGGTTTGGAACATTGTGTTACAAGAAGTAAGTGAACGCTTGTTTAAGAAATATTCGTTAGATTCTTCATCGTTCAATTTACAACCTTCGAAATTTTCAGTTTTCAGCAACTTATTTTCTCGAGATTTTAGGTATTTTCACTTCCTTTCTAGATTTTTCACTTTTCACGTTTTTATGGAATGGACAGATGAACATCGTGCGTCCGTTGTCGAAATGTTCTTCAAGAA